AGAGAGAGAGAGAGAGAGAGAGAGAGAGAGAGAGAGAGAGAGAGAGAGAGAGAGAGAGATTTATTTTTATTTTTTATTTTTAAATCTAAAAATCAGAAAAACAAATAAGAAAAAAAAATCATATTAACAGGGGCAAATCCGTCATTTTGAAAAAAATCAAAACATATTGGACCAAACAAGCAACAAAATGAAAACTTTGGACCTCTGATACTAATCCAAATATTTTTAGACAAGTGACAATTTTAAGCAAAGCTAAGAGACTGCAGTTTAGTCTATCCAAAATAAACGCTTTTCTTTTAAATTTACGTAATAATTTTGGGTCAACCTGCTATATTACGACCGTGATGTTCGAGTCAACCGTCCTTAGGGTTCAGTTTGGAAAAGGGCTTTTCATCACTTGCTCAAATTACAGCGAAAGAGGAACCCTAAAAAATGGTAAATCACTCCTTTCTATACACTCATCTCTTTGATTTGCAAATCTTTACATAAATTTCTTGATATCGTTGCAGTTGTTCTTCTCGTACTTCAAGGATTTGGTGGGAAAAGAAGTGACTGTGGAACTGAAGAATGATTTAGCGATAAGAGGAACCCTTCATTCGGTCGATCAGTATCTCAATATCAAGCTTGAGAACACCAGGGTCGTTGATCAAGAAAAGTTCCCTCACATGGTACGATTCTTAATTTTGCTTTCTTTGTGTTTTTTTTAGCGTTTTTGGTCAAGATTGACATTGATCTCAGTAGGCTATGCAGAATTGGATTATTATCGTTTCTTTTAGTGTAAAATCTTTGAGCTAATTGTATATTCGGTATGTGCTGTGTCGATCGATGGTAACACCTTATTTTGAGATTTAGGTTATGTGAAATTGATGTTAATCTCAGTAGTCAGAGATTCATAGATAATTAGATTATGTGAAATTTGATTGTGATCATCTTTGTTTCGTGGAAAATCTTTGAACTATTTATGTATAAAAGTGAGATGTATTTTAGAACTTTTGATGAGTATGGTATCTAATAAACTTCATATCAATTGCTTTGAAGGGATAATATCAGTTTGCTAAAATTTGATGATATTGCAGCTTTCAGTGAGGAACTGTTTCATTCGAGGATCAGTGGTGAGATATGTGCAGTTACCACCAGAGGGAGTTGACATCGAGCTGCTCCATGATGCCACTAGAAGAGAAGCTCGTGGTGGTTAGAAATATCAAATATGCTGTCTATGTTATATGCATTTTAGTTAGATATTTATTTGTTGCACAACTCTGAATTTTGTTGCTTTAATTTTTAATCTGTCTTTATGACTATTACCCTTTTGAAATATCATCTTCCTCTTTCCTGTTGAGATCATAATTCAGCCAAGGAATACGGATGTCTGTTCATATGTGTTGCGTCTCAGGTAACCTTTTTCATGTGTCAAACTGCATCAACGTTGTAAAATATAAATCAAAAGCATTAGAAACAGATAGGATTTTTCAAATTCTGAAGTTTATTAGGACACATTGCATTATGGAATCTGGAGTATTGTTGTTTCAAATTATGTATTGTTGGCAACTTGGCATCAAATTTATCGAGTGTCGCATGTTTTCTTGTTGCACCACTCAATTAAACATGCGAGCGTGTGAGATAACTCTAGTAAGTTCTACAAGGCCCTGCCATATCAAGTTATCTTTTTTTTTTTTTTTGAAGAATGTGATTTAGGGATGTGCGAATTAAATGAAGAACCGAACTGGAACCGCATAGGGGTATTCGATTTCGGTTCTCAGTTCCTTAGGTTGCGTTTAGTTATGGAAAAACAATTTTCATTTTCTGTTTTTCGTTTTTTCTTTTCAAATTTTGTTTTCCGTTTTCGGTTTTCATTGGAAAATTTAGAAAAACGCGTTTAGTTAAAACTTATTCATTTTTCATTTTCAATTTTAGAAAATTAGAAAACGTGTTTAGATGTGTATTTTTCTATCGGTTTTCATTTTTAGAAAACGGTAGTGGTGGTAGGGTGGGCGTGGGGACGGTGGCGGTGGTGGGGAGCGGCGGGGGGCAGTGGTGGTGGTGGCATCGGTGGTGGTGATGACAGGCGGTGGTGGTGGCGGCGGCAATTGTGGCAGTGGTGGTGATGGCGGCGGCGGTGGTGGTGGTGATGTGGTGGTGGTGATGGTGATGGTAGGTC